CATATTTTATTCTTACATCACTAAAATACATACTTATAATGTTTATGCGTAACAATAGTTAATACATTCTGATTTATACGTGATTTCAAATGCAAAATAGATATGCGCTGACCAGGAGACGGGGGAAGGTGGCGGTGTTCCTCGGCAGGCAAGCTCGGTGGTGATGTTGTGCTGCTGGCAGGCAGCCGGGGACCGTGGGAGGCACAAAAGGGGGAAGAGCAGAATGATGGCCCGGCGATGGAAAGTCTGTCTTTTCTGGCCAGAGCTTGGGCCTCCCGCCTTGCAGCACGGTCCTCCGCCTCCACGATGACGTCGGACATTTCCTGAGCTGTCGGTGTTACGGTTGTAGTTTATTTCGGCCAGGAGGTGAGCCAGGTCTACTGTTATCCGGCCTGATGTCACCAGGGGATGGGTGATGTAAGGATTGGGATGAGGAGGGGCAGATGGCCTGTACGGCATGACCTGTGACCAGTCGATGGCCATTGGGTCCAGAGGGTAGAGGCTACACCTCCTTAACCCAGCCACCACCAGTCTCCGATCCTTCACCCTCTGGTAGGAGTCTCTTAGGACCCTTGAAAACTCCTTCTTAGAAACCAAGAAGGAGTGGCTCACTGCCGACAAATCTCCTGTAACACCAGAGAAATCTGCCTTCAAAGGTCCGAAGAGACTCACGTCCAGAGGTTGAAGGATGTGAGACGTATGTGGCGGCAGGAACAGGAGAATGACCCTCTCACTCTGTGCCGCCTGGACCAGCTCTAGATCCAGGTGGGATTGATGTCCATCCATGATGAGCAGCAGCAGGCGTTCCTGTGCGGCAAACTTCAGGAAGTGCCCGACAAACCACTTCCTAAACAGCTCACTGTCCATGTACCCTGCTGGCAACTTCCCATAGAGGGCATCGGGAACCCCTTTTTTGTTATAGGGCCCCCCTGGATATCCCCCCTTGTAGATGATGTACCATGTATGGACACATGCATATTTAACACATGCATAGACATAAATATATTTACCTTAAACCATTGTAGATTTACAATTTCTATATCCATCTTTTCTTTTCTTGATCCTCCTGTAAAGGAAAAAACTCTCACACAGACACACGTTACCTACCTTTCTTACTTTAACAGCTTCTTCCTGTCTTTTATACTTCTTGATTCTTTTCTGCTTCTTGATGTCTGCTTTCTGCTCTTTTCTGCTTCTTGATGTCTGCTTTCTACTCTTTTCTGCTTCCTGATGTCTCCTTTCTGCTCTTTTCTGCTTCTTTTCTGCTCCCTTATATACTGTTAGGGTCAAATATGACCCGTTTTGAAATTTGACAGCAGTAAAAATACCCTAAACGTCATTCTTTTAGCCTGAAATTTGATGACTTTTCCTAAAGTGACCCAAAATACACAAAAATGAAAATATTTTTAAATGTTATACTTTTGTACAGGTGCTACAAGTTTTTGTACACTGATGCTGTTTCGGGTCAAATTTGACCCGTATCTATTGAGATGGATTTTAGATCTACCAGTGTGGGTCAAATCAAGGAAAATGGTGGTTTTAGGGAATCTTGAAACTGTACAGGCCATGTCTGTGTGTATTTTTTATGGGATAGTGGTGACAGAGTTCCAGGGGGACCTCGACACTGTCACGAGAACTGTCTGTGTTCCAACAACATTTGCCCAGGTTCCCGCAGAGACAGACACCTGCTCGTCTTTAAAGTGGCATAGGGGAATCTCGAAACAGTGAAATAGTAAAACTAATCATTGCAGTTCAAAAGTCACTCATGGTTAAAAAACATACAGACATTTGTTCCAATGTTTCCAAAAACATGATACTTTGTATCACTCTGCGTTGGCTCAGTTAAGGCCTTTATGAGTACGCATATTGAGAAAGGCCCTGAGACACACCTCTAGTGTTAAACTGTGATCTGCATAGTGGTCTTGATCTTGAGATCGATTGCTTTGGTCTCCACCCACATACCAGAAAAACCATCACATCACTCTCGTGATTATTTATCTCCATTTTTCAGGTATGTTGTGGATTTTAAACAGCTTTAACATGTCGGTATGAATCTGCTAACATGTCAGATGTTTTTAGAGAATGCTGTTACATTGTTATTTCAGGGTACTTTAGAGCTAAGTTTTGCAGAGTACTGTAGTGTGTGTGTGTGTGTGTGTGTGTGTGTGTGTACGTGAGTTCCCACGTGTGGACGCCGTAATCGTAGCTGTATCAAGTGTAGCCGCCATTTTCTGAATTCACTTGTCCAGACAGTAATATTTAGTTGTGATATTTTATTTGTTTTATCTGTAAAATATGTTTTAAGATAGTTTTATTTAAAAGTACTGAGTTTAAGCTAGTTTGTGCTCGGGAAATATATCATGTAATACTTTGAATAGTGTTCAACATGAATAGGGTATGCATTCTCTACTCTCCTGTAAATCTCTTCCTGTGTCAATGATACATTTTATGTTGGCTTTCTTTGGGAACCAAAGATTGATGTCTAGATTACATCCATCTCAGACATCCACCATCCTCAAGTTTTGTAATTACCAGGCACACAATCTGCTTTGTGTTCCAAAAGGTATGGACTCTGAATTGTAGTCCAAATTAAAGAGCTTAATGAAACACTGCTGAGGAGCATTTATCACCACTAACAAAAGGAGAGTGATGACAGACAAGGAAAGAGAACACCAATACATAAACTATCTTTGTAATGTTCCTTTGGTTGAACTTCACAACTTGCATATTTAGGCTTACATCCCACTTGTTTATTTTCAAAGCCGACTGGAAGGAATTATGTAAAAGAATAGATTATACTTTTTGCACACCTGAACAATTTTGATATAACAAATGAAAAATGATGAGCCTTCTCTTCCCTCAGTTCAATAGACTGGAATTGTGCATACAGCTGCCCCTGGAGCTAAAAACAATACAACATCCTTGTGTATCCCTGATGTGTTTGTGTGTGTGTGTGTGTGTGTGTTTTGACAGATTTGGCAGACTGTGTGACCTGCCAGTGGTGGACAGATGAGTGTGTGCGTGTGTGTGTGTGTGTGTGGGTGAGAGCGTCCAGGAGAAAGTGGTTTAAGAGGCTCCTGGATGACAGAGGCCTCCCAAATGAGATTATACTTTATTGTGAGTGCAAGGACCTGGCTGTAATTCAGTTTGAAGAGAACATCAGGCCTGCATTAAACTGGGAAAGTTCACACTTGGCAATATGGACGAATAAGGCTTTCGGTAAGACATAAAGGTAGAAGAGAAAAATAAGACCAATAAACGGTAGAGTTCTTTCCACCACCTCTTGCTGGAACAGTTGTGCGGTGGAACCCTTCTTATTCCCTAATGTGTCTTAATCGCACAGCGGTGGGATCTGTTGGGAAGAACAATGTTCAGATTCACAAAGACTTTGCCATATTATGATTTAAGAGTAAATCACAATATGACATTTTTCCCAAAATAACAACAATAACAGGGTATCATAGTATACGCAATTCAACAATAAGCAATATCACTAAACCATGTCTGTAATTCTTTTCAACAAGAAATTAACCTAAGCTTTCAGCCCCATCTAGTAACCTCCTCAGTGGATGGAGTTTGCTCCGCTGTCATGAGATGGTTCAGTTGTCATCACATGACCTAAGAATGGAACTTCAGTCACATGATAACGGGTAGTTGTATATGGGGGAGATGGTAACCCCTGTCTCTGTTCAAAGCAAGCCCCCAGGAACAATGCTGGGCTATAAAGTGATTTTGGCATAATGGTTGCATGGGGTGTTGCAACAATGGCCTAAAAAGCATTTTCTCCTAGTGCAGTGCCCGTTGGAAACATGCCTGTTCAGAACCTACCGAATGCTTGGCCTATGATCATGCTTGCTATCCGAACCCACCAGATCATTTGTTACACAGAACCATCTGAGAAGCCATCATTGGACACAGTTTGGAAAAGTGCAGGCACTTTAAGAAAAATAGTTGGCTGGTAATTATATAAACCATCTTTCAATCAAACTCTTTACCAAGCAAGTGGGGAGAAGAGAAAAAAACATATTTTCCATCCAAAAAAGCCTTTGTCTTTGTTTTGTATTCCACTAAGAAATACTCTCCAGTGCTGATAGGACTGATGCTATTGCAGCATCTACACTAACCTCTTCAGGAGCTGCCAGTAGCTCCTCACAGGAGGCTGACTGGTCTGTGCTCTGGCTTTCTGGACACAAACTTATTACTTGAAGCCTGACAAAATCCATTTTCGTGTTATACGTGATCCTGTGTTTCTCACGATGTTTTGTGACATTAGAGAATCCAGCTACCTTGCAAGGTAACAGCTTTCTCAAAAACTGCTCATTCAAACAACTTCATAGTCAACACTGCGTTTCCTTGAGTCCTCAGCAACGCACCTGACATGACATAGTTGTAGCACACTCCCAAGATGCAGCTACTCACGGTCAGAAACACCAGTGAAGAACACCAGGGGCAGCTTTAGATTTACCATGATATTTAGATGTGAAAAATATTGAATTATGTTCATATTCTAACTCATTGTACCCTGAAATAACTTTAGAGGGCCCCAAAAGTATTTAAAAAACATGCAACTCAACTGTATACTTCTACTTCAGAGGAAAACATTGTAGTACTACATTTACCTAACAGAGAAATATTATAGTTACTACATTTCAGATTCAGATTATACTCTCTTGAATGAAATATGATGCATTATTATCTCCACCAGATGTGGATTTGTTTATTTGTGCTTTAGAATATAACCGCTGTGAAACAATCTGAAAATGACCTTTGGTTCTTTTGATTCACGGCTTGGTCCTCACTAACACCAGAGCCTCTTTTCTTTCACTCTCTACCTCGCTCAACCACTGCTGTACTTTCTCTCTCTCCCTCCCTCCCCCCCGATCGCTAGTTGAGCCGGAGAGGAGGAGCACATTTTGAATACTGTTTGCAAACAGCAACCGACAATGTGACTTCATATCATACCTTCATTTTCATACCTTCGTTATTTATTTTTTGATTTTGATCCATCACAAAAAAATATGAAAAAATACAACATAGCTTTAGTATTACTCAAGTAATCATTTAATAGAACATGAGACTTTCATCCAATCCATGACCTAAAACTTTGCATCTGTCATATTTAATGAACTCTTATAGAACAAATTGCATTAACTAATGTGTCTGTACAATAATTGGGGCTAAGAATGTTCCCTGTGCTGCTCAAAAATAAATTACATTTTCAACTCACTCATACAGGGATATCGTCTATTTATACTGTCCTTTTAAATACAACAATGTGACTCCATATTCAGAGTTGAAAAAGTAATTTTTGTAATGACACAATATATTGATTCATACAAGGACATAAGACACCAGCAAAGGTTGTAGTACATATTACAATAAATATATTTCAAGAATAAGAACTGCACTAATGTGATAATACACAGATTGCACTCAAGATTACATATTGACAACAACAACCATTGATTATATATTTAAAAAAGACATTTTCTAATTTATCATCTATAGCACATGTTCTCTAGCCATGAACTGTTGTTTGAAGTCTCTGCCTTTATCTGTCCATCCAGCAGTGTGTGTAGCATGTTATTCAATGCCTTTATCCCTCAGTAGCCTTCTAACAGTCTTCAGGTAGTCAGAATCTGGGTAGCCGTCCCTGAAAGAACACGAATGACACAGAAACAATTACTTTATTACATATAGTATACTGTATAATGGTTCACAGAATTTTTCGGTGATGCCACCCTTTGGAAGCAGAAAAAGATAATCATACCTCTATCCCGCACATTTTGGCCAAACATTATTGGGGAAATGATCAGCAATAGAGGCCAAATAAAATATTATTTTATTACGTTAATATTTAAACTTTGCCAAGACTTTGCTCAAGACTTGATAGTCTTGTTGAGAGCCTCTCCTCGTCAGCTGCTCATGCCCACAAGAAACTGTATGCACTGACTACACATTCACTAGAAAAGCAAACGGATGCTCAAGTGCACAGACAACTGTTACTAACAATTTAGAATACACAAAAGATCATGTACACCCACTCCCAATGCATCGCTGCTGTGTGCATTGGAAAACCCACTTACTATGAGAAAAAGTTGGGCAATAAGATGGATGATCTTGGCAAGATCAGCAAGATGTTCAGTCTACTGTGGCCAGCGCACTTTGCCGTAATCTGCTGGGGGAGGACCATTGGAGCCAGTGACACCAACAGACTTAATAAACAAGAAGTAGGCCAACTCCGTATTTAGATGCAAACCAGACACCTTTGAAGTTGTGGTGGAGAGGAGGACACTGAACGAACAGGTGTTGATATGTATATTTACCGTGTATTTACTGTTGCCATGGATAAGATGTTGCTGAAACACAATCATTTTCCAATTTGGGATTAATATCTATATCTATCTGTCTATTGTGAATATTATATTACATTTCCACCAATAAATCCGATACACTATTCTTTTACGGTAACACTCTTTGCAGACCATCTCATTTAGAAAGGGAAACAGGTTTATTCTACTCCCCTACGGTCCTCCACACCAGTATTGATGACGTTACAAAGTAACATACTTTGTTTCTTGTATTGAGTAGCGTAACACATTACAGCCCATAAATGAAAGGTGCAAGTGCAAAATAAAATAAATAACTAAGTTGAATAACATGACGCTGTGGGTTTTACTCTTTTCCTTTTTTTTTAGTCATTAGCCGCTGACACGTACAGTACGCTCCCTCTGGACAATATAAGCAATTAGCACAAAGAATCGCAAAGGGGTTTTCATTTTTGGTTACACACTAGTACTCTAGTTACTTTTCTCAGTAGGAAACACAACTAGTTACTTTTTAATAGCAGTAAAGTTGTAATGTAACAAGTTACTTTTAAAAGCAATGTAACTGATCCAAAGTCTCAGTTTATATCACATTTTAATCACGCAACTTTAGGTGGTTCCCATTAGCCAACAGGTGAAGATTGTAGTTGTAATCATAGAAATAAAATAGGAGTAGAGGAGACATTCCCATTCAAATCAATGTAGCGGGATGGTCAAAGCGACGGCCATTTATATGTGCACAGTTGCCAGTGTGACGGTTGTAGCGGGCTAACTTCCATGTAAACTAAACTGACTTACATTAAGTCTCACACTTACTGTGGTGAAGTGTAGAGAGCAGGAGTTACTGGGTTACTTAATGCTTCATCCACACACTCTGTAAAAGTGTAGGAAAGCACATTGCTATCGCCAGATGAGCGACAACTTTCTTTGGTTCATTTTTTGTAAATGACCACAGAAAAGAGTTCAATGTCTGTTCTACTCCTATTCTATTTCTATGGTAGTAGTATTTACTCACACTCCGCTGCCTCCGTCTGGTTGTGTTTTGAGGGGGATGGAAGCTGTAGTGACCATGTCCTCTCCATCTTTATTGGTGGTGACTGTAAACAGTAGCTGCTCGTTGAAAGCCTTGTCCAGAAGCTTTAGAACCCTCCTTCCATCGCGGTTGTCAGGCAGGTAAGCACAGAGCCGCAGTCCTGCATAAGGCTGGCCCGGGTGAGGTTGTTTCTCCTGCAGGAAGAGATGCACAGTTAACAGTCTAATGCCAGGGTATTCAATTAAAGTTCAGCAAGGTCCATTTAGAGAGAATTTGCTCACGCAAAGGTCTGGAACATCACAATAATGTCTAACGTGCGCTATGAATTAGTCCCATATGTATTGAATTAGCCAACAGTTGTATTAACATCTGTATGTAGACAACAACCGACTGTCAAATCAAATAAAGAAAGTTCAATTGAATAATATTTCAGCAATATTTATTGTCAGATTTCAAATTGAACTGGATGAATTATAAATAATACATACTCTAATAATAAGTAAATGTTCTCTCATTTCAAGTAAAATAAGGGCTGGATTAAAGAATAACTGACATAACAGAAAGCTTTTCAAAAATGTGCATTTTAAAATAAAGTAATTCATTTTAGAAAAATTTATTTCACTGAATTGTCCTGCAGCTTTAAATTCAGTTCATTCAGGTGTGAAGTGATGTCAATCAAGACAACAATATTATATTATAATAAGAGAAAGTTGTGTTCAGGGACTTTATCTGTGGTTATTAAAATCACTTGTCTCAGCTCTATTCTCTCTGTTATCATCATTGGTGGACAGTGATTGCGTGTTAGGATTCTGATCATATTGAGCTCTTAGATTGTTTATTATCTGTGACTTCATTTAGATGTCAGTGGATAAGTTTGCTAAAAAGAGTTGTGCTTTGTCTCGTAGCAGTGACTCATTCACTGCTTTTAATTATCGTCACAGTCTCAGAACATATGAGACATACTGGTTTTAAACTGCCTGTGGGAAGAATTAAGATAAGAGTCTGTTCATTCTTGGCTAAAGACTCTGGTCTCTCTGGTCTCTCTGACTACTTTTCTCTTTTTGGAGAACGTCATGTGAAATAACTTCTGACTCTCGTAATTCTCCTACTCTTCATTCTCTTTCCTCGTCTCTCCCCCGTGTGTGTAAATATCACTTGAGTCCGGAAACTTGTCAAAATTCACATATGTGATTGGCTGAGCAGCATCACGTGATGTGATTTACAATGCATGTAATTGGTCGGTGTGTTTCCTGCACCGCTGAACGGGTGCCGTAAAGGCTGGAAAAGCTGCGCCGGTTAAAATAGAAGCACTCCGTCAAAATTAAGTAATTCTCAATTACGGTTTTAGGTCCAGGGTCCGGATACAACGGCATCTGGGTCTGGATCCGGACCACGGTCCGCCTATTAGTGACCCCTGGTCTAACGCTTTGTTTCACACAAACCTTCACTAACCCATGTGTTTTTGATGCTTAAGCCTTAAACCACCTGGCTTGTATAAGTGCCTTAAGTGTGGAAATAGCAGGCTAGTTTTAGTCAAGTTTTAGTCATGCTCAAGTTTTCAGGAGCAGATATAGCATGGAGTACAAAGAAAAAAGCCATTGGCAGTAAATATTTTGCCGATACATCAGTATCACCTCCTTTATTTGAGAAAAATGTCATTCCTGGCAGCAGTAAAATTGCAAATATAAATACCTGTATATGAACATAATTGCAGAATGGTTTTGGTTGCTATAAACTTATGAGACTGGTCTGGATGGTTTTGCAGACAAAATTGTCCTTTAAATTTCTTTTAGTCTTTTCAAAAAGAATGCATAGGACTAATAGGATCAAATGATGAAGTGCTGACATTTTGGATAGAATCAACCTGCAGAGATGAGGTGATTCATTGTGACGAATGCTTCTCCTTTCGTCTTCCCTGTAGCATACATAACTTGTAACTATATGCATTTTCAGCAGCAAACTCTTTCGTGTAATAAAATGTGCACGTCAGCGCTTCCTCGCCACCACAGAAATGTTTTCACAGCAGATCCTGTAAAAATGACAACTAAGGGAATGTGCAAAACTGTTCTACGATCCCAGATATCTAGCATTAAAAAGAGACAGTGATAAGGAGAATGCTAGAGAAAACATTCTTACATTACTATCAACAGTAGAGGAATAGGCTTGTAGCAGGGTTAGCTTGTAGAGGAATCTGAAGCAATTACAGCAGCAGTAGTAGCAATAATGCACATAGTTGGGTAATCTTGTTTTTTTAATGAAATGAATACATGCATAAATGCAAAAATATATTATCTTGACCATATATTTCAAATATAATGAGTAGTTTCAACACTGTGGCTATATCCACACTCCTACATTTCTGTTTTAAAACGCATCTTTTGCTACGTTTACGCCTAGCGTCAACACTACTCCGGTGTTTGAAAACCCCCGAAACGGAGGCATTTGAAAAACACTACCGATACTGTGTTAGTTTGACAACTCCAGTGTTGTATTGTAGTGTGGACAGGCAGAAACGTGGACCTTTGAAAACAATGACGTAGACAACAATCAAACCAAGGAAACGAGAGAGAGAGAGACACGTGTTGACCAAAGTTATTGACCCATAATCTAGTAAACTTTGATTTGTACTTGTTCATTTTGAAGTAAATTTGATGTGGTGAGAGAGATAGAGCAAGACCTGCAGCGTTGTAACTAAGTCTGAAAAGTAAAACTTGTTTTCACTGTTTGAAAATATTTGAGTGCTTGTATCAAGCACAACCTTTAATTATTAAAGAGTACAATGATACTCTGTTGTATTTTCTGTCACTAAGTAACCAATCTATTCCTGTCTACACCGGCACTTGCATGCCCAGTGTACGTGAATAGTCATGTGATATTTGTTTTCAGGCGCGTTAGTATGGACGGAAATCATTTCTAAAATGAAAGCATGTTAGTTTGGATGTAACCTCAGATATCCCAAACAAATATCCTCCTGCAGCATGGACTCTGTGCTGCTTCAGTGTTTAACAGTTCCCATCCTCCCTTAGCTCTGCCAACCAAACTAACCGGATCATCAACTTCTTTTGTGGCTCTAGTCTGAGCTCCTGTTGTTTGTGATTTTGTTTTGTTCTCTTCTTGTTACTTTGCATTACGGTGTTGTATCGTCTAAGGGATGTGATGCAATTAGGTTCATGATGTATCATAATTCAAGCTGGTTACTGAACCTATTGTTGATTGTAAAGAATTAAAATGGTATACTTTGCATACTTGTTGTCATTGTTTTCTGTCATGCAAAAAAGTTGTTTTCCTAAGATTAATACTATAAAATAGATAAGATAAGATAAAACTTTATTAATCCTGAAGGAAATTCTTGAAAAATGATCCTAGCCTCATCTTAACTGTGATTTCCACAGACTTCCAGGGATTCTGCATATGCACACAAACTGTTAGCCAGCCAATAATTAGATACATAGTAGATTTAGATTTAAATAGATTTACAAGCTTACTGTCTGTATTCCATCTGGGAATATGTAGTTCATCTGCAGGGTGTTGTCATCAGGGAATCCTGGTAGGTCTCTGTGGAGGATCACCCAGGTCATTTGGCCCTCTGGCTGGCAGCCACTCAGTGCTCTATACATCCCATTCAATCCTTCCTTGGCTGCACAGACAGCAGGCCAGATTTAGTCAAATGATCCAGAAGTGAGTAGAAGCTAAGCATGGAAAGCGTGACAGACACATAGAATCGGTTTATATGTACCTTGTTGTTCCAGTGGTGGAGGACCATTTCCGTTCAGGTAGCGGTTGCAGTGGAGTGTGTCACTGCTCTGTCCAGAGCCCATACTGAGAAGCAGCAGACAAACACATAGAGAGAAAGAAATCATTGGCTGATTCCTGAGATTATCCCAAAACAATTACGAAACATTGTCAATGAGTACATCTACTTTGGGGCACTTTAAACTGACATTAAAGGTCAGTCTACTTGTCATGGAAAGTGCTTTACCTTTTAAAACAATAATGTCTTAGGTGGCTTCGAAAAAAACTTGTAAGCATTCTTTCAGTCTACGCTTGGAGACAACAAATGGTTCCAAGCAGTTTGAAGACATGGGTGTTAACCAGGCAGGAGGGGTCAAATGGAGAAAGTTTTTTGTTGCCTTATGGGAAATGTAGGATCCTGCATTTTTGGAGCTTGTCCCATAGTAGGAACTAAAGAGAGGCAGGATATCAGTGCCTCTGCGCTTTTGATTTTGGCCATTTTTTTCTAAATCTGCTTCTTTTCGACTTCATGGAAGTGTTATGCCAAAACACAGAGTACATCTAAGGGAAGTCGAAAACTGGGAGGAAACACACTAACTGGCAAAGCCAGCACCTGCCCTGATTACTGGAGATTATTCCAAGATGATCTGATCTTGAGGGTCAAAATCTAGCGTGAAGACCTCTTTTATTTATGTTTTGTGCTTATGTGTTGCTCAGTACAACATTGCTAAGTCCCCAAGCAGTTTGTTTTATTTGTGGGTATTTAGCCATCATATATTTTAAAAAAATACACATATTGAAGTGGATTTAGGATTTTTTGGGGTCCAAATCGAACAGCAGTTTGCCTCAGAATACGTAGATTTAATCAGTTAAAGGCAGCGGACTAGCTGAGGAGTCCACATGACTGCTGGATATATTGTTGTGGTTTCAGTGATTCAACCCCTGAAATGACACTCGGGTCATTAAGGACCTTGAGGAGAGTCTCATGAATGAAGTTGTGAATTGTTGTGAAACAGCTGGATACACATATCTGGTTGTTTCAGTTAAAATCTAAGAGACTGCACTGTCACCCAATCAGCCGCACAGGGGGAACAAAGACAGATTCATCTTCATTCACTGGTGTGTCCTACTTGGAAGAACACAGTTGCCTAAGATATAATTTATCATGAAACTATGAAACACAGCCCTCGGCCAGCAGTACATTAAAGTATGTGGGTAATGGATTCACATGTTAGAGCAAATACTGTATCTTGGCTACACGTTATGGTTCTTGCATTTTGTTACTTGCATCTTCCACTCCTTGTCATTTACAGTAACGCTAATGTCAGGAAAATTGTAAGCGTAATAGTCTTAACATAAACAATTCAGTCCAACTTTCAGCCTGCTGAAATGCAGAATGTGTTCACTCTGTTGCTTGATTGTGGGTCAATCTGCAAACACAGCTCCTCTGTCAGTGTGTGGTTAGCTGCCACAAATTATAAAGAATGCTGATGACTCAATCAAATCTGATGATCTCACTGAGGGTTGGCACAGGACTCAGGTGTTCAGGAAGTATTCCAGTAAGGGCGATAGATTTGGCGATAGATTGAGTCCTGAAAATGCAAATGCTACATTTACAGAAAAAAAAAATAAACATGATTTCAGAAATGACACTGATAACATTTTTTCCCCCATTGTTAAAGAACATGTCTGTTGTAACTTTGAATTCAAACCTCCAGTTTTTGCTGCAGGTTTTTACACAGTGCTGTGACTACACAACACGAGCAGGTTTGACTAACACGACACAGGCAGAGAACTTGTTAAAAGTCATTACAGGAAAGCTCATCAAAGGGTGCTGTTGTTACTGACATTAGTACCTGTTCAAATGCTCTTCTTCTCAACACCTTGGTGAAGTTTTCTCCTTTTCTTCTGTCTCTCTCCTGTGCAGTCCGGTAGTTCAGATGTCTATTCAGCTCATGATGACCTGAGAAAGAGACAGAGAGAAAGAGAAAGAGAAGGATGGGTGTGTCAAGTTCCAGGGTTGTGTTGTGCTGCTGAGAGATCTGTTCAACTGGTGTAGCAGCTTTGACAGGGACTGTAACATATGCGTGTGTGTGTGTGTGTGTGTGTGTGTGTATGAGAGATAAAAAGAGAGGGAGGAAACCTAAAGAGAGAGACTGAATGCGATAGAAAGCAGAAACAGATACTAACCAAGTTAATGCTCAGTGACCACAAATAGGCAATCTAAAAAGGAATCCAAACAAAATCATGGCACCCAAAAGAAAACATGTGGTCACTGTTCGACAGGTCAGGCTGAGACAGAAATGCACTTCCTCCTAAAATGTCAAACATTCAATAATGAAATAAGAAGCAACAGGTTCAACATATATACATGGTTAGTAAATCAAGAACATAAAAACAACACAGACACACACAATTAAGTATTACGTTTGGTATACATAATACTTACATATTACAGACATACAACATAGAGTTCATTGACAAACAGTGGTGGACTGATACACATATCAAAGTGTTTCTTAGCTGCTACATAAGACCCAAGGAAGAACAACTGGCTTCTCCTGTATTTTAACTGCTGTCTTGATACTGAAACGAGAAAGGTGAAATGGACGTTGCAGTTTCATATCATTCTATATTTTAAGTTCTAACAATAATAGAAATAAACTAAATACATTCAGGAACTTAAACATAAACAATAGCCTGACTTTGTGGTTGATGAGCACCAAAGCCCAACAAAGATCTGAGGCAGGAAAGTGCCGGCTAGCATTTAGCAAAAGTGTGTGGGTTGCTGCGGAAGCCAGGTTAGCCGGGCTGGATAAAGAAAGGCTTTTCTCTTGGGATTTGTTCAGCTCAACATGTGGATCAATCAGAGCCAGAGGAGACATCCAGTGAATTGTATAGGTGTAAGAGAATGATTTTGTTTGTGCCTGTCTTATCTGTACTTCCCTGTATTTTCTCTTCCATATCAATCCTGTTGTCTGTGTGATATCTTGGTGTGTTTTGAAGACAATGCTGTTAGAAGGTTCTCAGCAGTTGAGCTGTAAATGACATGGGCTCTCTCTGTCTCGCTAAGCTAGTAACCTCTTTCCTCCAGGAACAAGGAGACCGGTGGCCTCACACCACGCTCCTACGATACTACTTCACGGTCATTGCGGCATAGTTTAGGGCAGGGGTATTCAATTAAAATTCCAAAAGGTCCAGATTGAGAAAATCTCCTCGGGCAAAGGTCCGGAACATTACAATAATATCTAACTTGCGCTATTTAGTGCCATATATATATATATATATATTCAAGAAGTCTAGTAGTAGTAACGTGTCTGTGTAGTCAACAACTGTCAAATCAAATAAAGAACGTGCACATCAATTATATTTTAACAAATATTATTCTCAGTTTTCAAATTTAACTGGATGGATTATATATAATACATAGAAATACATAAATACATGTTCTCTACTTTCAAGTAAAATAAGAGCTGGATTAAAGAATAACTGACATAACAGAAAGCTTTTCAAAAATGTGCATTTTAAAATAAAGTAATTCATTTTAGAAAAATGTATTTCACTGAATTGTCCTGCAGCTTTAAATTCAGTTCATTCAGGTGTGAAGTGATGTCAATCAAAAAAGCCACAATATTATATTTTTCTCATCTTCTAACAAGAGAAATGTTTGTGCATGGACTTTATCTGTGGTTATTAACACTTGTTTCAGCTCTATTCTCTCTGTTAACATCATTGTTGGGCAGTGAATTCATGTGTTAGGATTCTGATCATTTTGGACTCTTAGGTTTATTTTCTGTGACTTCATTTAGATGTGAGTGGGTACTTTTGCTCAAAAGAGTTGTGCTTTGTCTGGTAGTGTCGCTTCATTTACCGCTTTTAATAATCGTCACGGTCTCTGAACATATGAGACACACTGGTTATAAACTGTCCGTGTGAAGAATAAACCTATAAGAGTCTGTTCATTCTTGGTTAAAGACTCTGGTCTCTTTTTTCTTTTTGGAGAACGTTATGTGAACTTCTCTGACTCACGTATTATTCTCCTGCTCTTCCTTCTCTTTCCTCGTCTCTCCCCCGGTGTGTGTACATATCACTCCAGTCAGGAAACTTGTCAGAATACCCATATTTGATTGGCTGAGCCGCTTCACGTGATGTGATTTACAACGCATCGGCCGGTGCGTTTCCTGCACCGCTCAACAAGTGCCGTAAAGGCTGAAAAAGCTGCGCCGGTTAAAATAGAAGCGGCCTGTCAAAATAAAATCGATTTTAGGTCCTGGGTCCGGATACAACGGCGTCTGGGTCCGCCAATTGGCGACCCCTGGTTTAGGGGATCCACCAAACCCAGTGCCCTCTGTGTCCTTCAACGTATCTTCATCACGATACTAAATGCCAGATACAGCAGTTTCCCCTTTTAGCATAGGGAGAATCCCTACTAGCTGCACCCAGGTTGGCACACATCGGTCCCACTGCACCTGCTACTTCTGCCCTAGTATCAACAGTCTCCCTCCTACTCCAACACTAATTGAGTCCTCTTATGTTGTATCCAAACCAATTTCCCTGCCTTTGGATGTGTTTGGGTAAGTGATTTTGCCCTTCTGAAGATGTCTCTGGACTTGTTGAATAACCATCAACATCTGAGTGAACACTACATGTATCAGCTGCTTCTTGGGCAACTACAAATCTCAAATGGACTTGAATTGTCATTTATGTATGACCCCAGATTATACACTGCGTCCTTACATCCCCTGTTGGGTGCGTGCGGCAAACCAAGGCAACTTGACCAACCTGAGTGAGGAGCCAAACATAACTCGCCAAACATAAATATGGAGAATCAGAGGCGTTTGACTTCTCTGCACAGTTCCTGGTGGGCATGCTTCGAACTCCTGATAGAGACAGTGGTTTTGAGCTTTGACGTGGATTTTATGTTGACCGCCTCATGAGAAAGATTACTCCAGTTTATTGTTTTATTTAATACTTTACTGCAGCTAACGCATATATTCTAAAACATCCACACTACACCTCACTGTGCTACACAACACCATTAAGGAGACTTCGAGAAAGGTCTATATGGCAAGTAGTCCCCCAACCAAAGTCTACCAATGAATCATGGAAAGATGTGCTATGCTTGATGGTGGATCAGATCAGACCATTGCCTTACCACAAGCTGTAGACCACATACAGCTCATAAAACAGCCTGAAATACTGTACCTGAGGAAAATCCAACAAAAAGTGATGGAGCTCTATGGTAAACCTTCACATCATAACTTAGGCTGCTTTAAGTTTTACCCTTAGTTAACACCTCTTTGCTAGATATGATCAATCCGTCTTTACTACCTGGCTTTGTACCACAGTCCTTCGAAATGGCTGTAGTTAAACCTCTTCTTAAAAAAACCCACTCTTGATTCAAACATTTTGACTATAGAGCTATTTCTAACCTAAATAATGACCTTCTAATGGTATCAGACACTGGACTTATCTCTGTTCTTGTTTTCTTAGATCTGTGCTGAATTCGATGTCATTAAACATCATATCCTGTGACTGGAACATTTAATAGGCATTAAAGGAACTACACTAAGTTGGTTTAAGTCCTATTTTTTAGTTTGATCCCAGTTTGTATATGAAAACAGTAAATCTTCCATTCACGCCAAAATTAGTCACAAAGTTCCACAAGTTTCTGTGCTTTGACCAAGTCTATTCACCTAATATAATGCTTCATTTAGGCAATATAATCAGAAAAAAACTCCACAAACTTTTATTGTTATGCAATACCCAATTATATCTATCGGTCAAGCCAGACAAAACCAACCACTAAGCTAAACTCCAAGCATGCTTTAAAGACATAAAGAACCATTTGACCCTCAACTTTGTGATGTTACACTTACACTTGTTCACCCTAAATATGATGACCCTTTCCTTTCTGTGCCTGGTGTCTGTTAGAGTTCAGTGAGTCATTTGAAAACATAGAAAATATTGTCTTGTTAGGAAAAACAACTTACAAAATGATGGTGAAAGTAAAGGAGCTCGTCTAGCTCTGAGCCATGAGGTGAAGCCTGCGTGGAGAGCACTGTACAAACCACTGCTAACTAAAAGGTTGACTACTTGCAGTGGAGAGGTTTACATGGGATTGTGGCTGTCAAATGAATATTGTCCTCTCTGCACTCAGAGAGAAAGTGTTTTCACTTCTTTCTGGACTGTCGACTTTGTTTCCTGGTTCATCTGTTAGAAAATACGTTCAGGATGTTCAGAGAAGTGTTTTATAAGCATGTTTACTTTTGGGGTTATTAGTAGAGTAAAAAATGGAGAGCAAAATGTCAGCTGTTTAATTTTATCTTGGAGATGAAAAATGGCTTTATATTTTAGAAGACGGCGTAGAACAGATTTGATGCATGAAGTATTTCCATCACGATGGTAATGGCCAGATTAAAAGTTGATTACAGTTATTACAGTTTTCATTCAATTGTTTCTGTCTTGTTCATTATTTTTGTGGACAATTAGGTTATATTGTTTTTTTGTGAACACTGTTATTAATGTGAGCAAAGAAAGAGAATTTGAAAATGACGTTCCCTCTCTCAAAAAGGCCCTAACCCTAACCCATTATCTAAATACTCTGTTCTAACAGCAGCCAACCCATGCTGTAGACTTTGAATGTCACACAGGTGTGCAACATACAGTACATCCACACAGACATATACACACACTTGCTAGTATATGAGTGAAGTGCTAATAATGAATAGGGACAGGGAAATAAAAAAGTGCGAGAATTTCTCATCAGATTCAACATATTTTTTCGCCAGTCAGTTTAAATTATTAGTTTTTTGTAAAAAACCTCACTCCCATCCTGTGTGGACTATC